ATGATTGACGTTGAATGGATAATTAAGGCTTTTATCATAAACATCAAAAATGCACCTATGTTGGTGACGCACTGAAATGGTACCCCACTTTCCTTTTGACCATATTTTATCCGGGCCACAGCTGCTCCTACACCCGCCATCCGTCTGAAGTTTTGTTCCGTATAGCCACGTGCATCAACTCTCAAAGCTTACTAGCCAACTTACTAGCCTACTAGTAAGCCTACTAGCCAACTTACTAGCCTACTAGTAAGCCTACTAGCCTACTTACTAGCCAACCCCGGTATCAAGTGGATAGATTGCTGTGCACAGCCACGAAAACGTCACGCGTCCCAGAGAGTAGTCCTGTCTCTCTCTCTCTAACCCGTACTCTTAACTCCCAGGTACTTTCTCAGCTGCTCCCGGAATTTAAGCTTGTACATCTATTTCCCCTTACTCTATGATAATTATGCAATCGACTGCGCCTACGAATGAACTGAGAATACCCAATATTTGCTTGATGTGCGCAAAGTTGCCGTATGAAAAGCAGTGGCTGCTAATGTACCACTCCGCAAATCGCCGTGCTGTTTGCACGGAGAGCAATTTAAATACGAGAATTTCATTGTTTCGTTTCTGTTCGGAGGTACATCTGCATTCAACAAATTCATCTTTTGCTGCTCTTCACACTGTACCGTAAGCGATTCAAAACAACAAAGAAACATAACTTTGAAAGGCAAAAAAAACATCAACAGTAAAGTAAGCGAAACCCGTCCGTCCGAGGTGCAAGCACTTTCATGCGCACACGTAAAAATGACTGACAATCTATGTTAATAGTTCTCACAAAAACAAACATAGGCAACATCGATTACTGCAAACAAACAAAAGTCTAACAGGACACTCACGCAATACAACTAATCAATGCAGTTTCACTGAAATTATGCAAATTGTTAGTACATGAATTTTCATAGAATCCATAAAAAAGTGAGATAAAGCAACGCTTAGCATTAATTAACAGTGAGGTGTCATCTTTTCAACATCGCAAAACGCAGTGGATTGCACCAAAAAGGCTCCGTAGATAATTCTTTTAAGAGTGCTTAACAAGTGACATCAATATATTGAAAAAGCCGGTAGTATCGTACTGCAGAAATAACCCAAAAAATGAAAGAATGCATTCTGCGCCAAGTACAAACTATTCAAGAAAGAGTGAGCAGCACGGCGCCACAACCTCAAGTGAAGGTAGGGAAATTTTAAACAATTTTTGTGTCGATAAATATGGATGTTAAACACCGGTATGAAGCATTTCATCGTACTTTCGATTTTTTTCATCCATATTACGGATCTCATCATCCAATGCATCGATAACACCGCTCAGTCGCTTAGCAATGTGCTCGAAGCTTTGACGCTGAAATCTGTACTGAAAGAACAAAAACGAACAACAAAACAATTCCTGAGGAGTTTGAAGAAAGGGTCAACTACCAAAGTTTATTCAGAAATCCAGTTCGAAATGCATGAAATCCCTTCCTGTGAAAAATTTACAACGAAAACTTCCTGTGTATTGATCTTCTTATATAAGACAGGCCCTGATACAGCTGTGCCTCCAGTGCTTTTGCTTGATATCCACACTGCCAAGCCAAAATGCTTTTTTCACATGACCGTGTAGTTCAATGTGTAATCAATGGCGGTACAGTCTGTTTGGTATCACCTGCCGCCCCCCCCCCCCCCCCCCCCCCCCCCCCCCC